ATGAGTAAATAAGACAATTATAAGAAAATTAAAAAAGACACTGAACTATCACAGTGGAACTTGTCAGAGTGCAGAACCACTGTGACCTTACGCCACAGAAAGGCCATGTTTGAGCTGCATAAAATACTGGAACCTCGCTACCATAGGAAAGTGACTTGGAGAGAAGTAAACAGTTCTTTGAACGTAAGAGAAAATTAACTTATTAAGGCACACCAAATGTAAAAGCAGTCAACTGTCGATAAATAAATATTTATTTATTCCCGAATCGATGTCTGGAAAACACCTTCAATTCATAGCACATATTAGAATACTAACTGAAAACTCTTCATTCAAGATATAATTGATTTGTTATATACATATTAAGAAAATTCATACTGAAAACTCAGAGATATGAAAAACTCCTAGAACAAAACCTAGAGAGTTACCTCTTTGACATCATTCTTACCAGTATCTTTTTTAATATAAATCCTTGAGCAAGGGAGACAAAAGAAAAAAAAACATATGGGATTACATCAAACTAAAAAGGTTTTGCATAGTGAAGGAAACCATCAGCAAAACGAAAAAGACAACTTACTGAATGGAAGAAATATTCACAAATGATACATCCAATAAGGGGTTAATATTCAAAATATATGAAGAACTGATAAAACTTAACATCAAACAAATCAATCCAATTAAAAAATGGGCAGAGGATCTGAATAGATATTTTTCTAAAAAGGCCATACAGATGGCTAACAATCACATAAAAAGATGTTCAACATCATTAATCATCAGGGAAATGCAAATTAAAATGAGATATTAACTTACACCTGTCAGAATGGCTACGACCAACAAATAGCAAACAAGTGCTGGAGAGAAGGGGGCGAAAAGGGACCTCCTGTGTCCTCTGGTGGGACTGCACATAAGTGTAGCCATATGAAAACTAGTGTGGAGATTCCTCAAAAAATTAAAAACAGAGCTGCCATATAATCCAGCAATTCTACTTCTGAGCATGTGTTTCAAGAAAACAGGTGGGGGGTTCGTCGCAGCGGAAGGGCAAGCAGGAGTCGGGCCGCAGGTTTACCTGGGCCCGGGGAGGGATCGAGGGGTCGGGCTTCCAGGAAGAGCACCGGCGCTGGAGAGGATTGGCTGTACTCTGGCCCTCACCCTCTATAGTCTGATCCGTAGCTTTCTAGGAAAAGCGCGGGCAACTCCGGGAGACTCCAGGGACTGGAGCCTAACACCCAGGAATTCACACGTGAGATTGAGGCGCGGCTGACGCGTGTCAACAACTGAGAGAGCTGTACACTCTAAAACTCTTCTGGACTTCCGCCAAGATGGAGGTATAGGTGGATGTGCCGTGCCTTCTCACACAACCAAGTTTAGGGACAACTAAATATTAGCAACAGAAATCACAGCCAGAACACGGAAAATTGAACTTTTCAGAAGTCCGTTAACAACAAATTCTTCAGCCTGACTGGTAAGGGGCGAAACCAGTGGCTGGTGGAGCGGGGTTGCACAGGAGGACTCGGTCAGACTGGCTCAGGCGCGGAATCCAGACTCGCGGAATCCAGGCGCAGGGTTGGACCTAGTGAGCGACCAAGCAAGTGACCAGGCGAGCGACCGGGAGGAGACAGCGGGGAAGCGGTGCTGCGTGTTGACTGTGGTCGTGCATTTGTGCACGGGCAGTCAGGCGAGGGAGTGGGCAGTTGGACCGGGCCCGGTGGGTCCCCGCGGCAAGTGGCAGTGAAGGGCGCCGCCATTTCCCCGCTCTGACCACGCCCCCACATACAGCGTCACAACCCAGCGACCTGGGAGTCCAAGGCACCGCTTCTCACACTTAAAGGGCCAGAACAGACCAAAAATGTCCCAAGATCTCAAAGCCCCAGAGCCCATAGATCTAAGTGATGAAGAAATAGCAAAACTCTCAGACGCACAGTTTAAAACACTGGTCATCAGGATCCTCACAGAACTGGTTGATTATAGCCACAAATTAGAGAAACATATGAAGGCGAAACTAATTGAAATGAACGGAATTGCACAGGAAACCAATAGCGATGAAAATGAAACTGGGACTCAAATCAATGGAGTGGACCAGAAGAAAGCAAATAATGGCCAAACAGAAAAGAGTCAGGAAGCAAGAATTCAAAGAAATGAGGAGAGTCTTAGGAACCTCCAGGACATCTTTAAACGCTCCAACATCCGGATTATAGGGGTACCAGAAGGGGGAAAGGCACAACCACCAGTGGAAAACGTATTTGCACAAATAATAAAGGAAAATTTCCCCAATCTGGCAAAGGCAATAGACATCCAGGAAATCCAGGAAGCTCAGAGAGTCCCAAAGAAGTTGGACCCAAGAAGGAACACACCAAGGCACATCATAATTACATTAGCCAAAATTAAAATGAAGGAGAGAATCCTAGAAGCAGCAAGAGCTAAGGGGACAGTCACCTACAAAGGAGTCCCCATCAGACTGTCAGCAGATTTCTCAAAAGAGACTTTACAGGCAAGAAGGGGCTGGAAAGAGGTATTCCAAGTCATGAAATCCAAAGACCTACAACCAAGATTGCTCTATCCAGCAAAACTTTCATTTAGAATGGAAGGACAGATAAGGTGCTTCTCAGATAAGATCAAATTCAAGGAGTTCATCATCACCAAGCCCTTATTATATGAAATGTTAAAGGGACTTATCTAAGAAAAAGAAGTTAAAGAAACATGAACAGTGAAAGGACAACAAACTCACAGTTATTAACAACCACACCTAAAATGAAAGCAAACTAAAAGGACAGCTAGATCAGGAGTAGAAACATAGAAATGAAGATCTCAAGGAGGGTTAGCAACAGGGGAGTGGGAGGAGGAGATGGGGGGAGAAGGTACAGAAAATAAGTAGCATAGACAGTAGATAGAAAATAGATGGGGGGGCAAGAATAGCATGGGAAATATAGAATCTAAAGGACTTGAGACACATGGTCATAAACTAAAGGGGGGTAATGGTGGGGATGGGGGGGTATGGTGGAGGGGAATGAAGGGGGGAATAGAACAACTGTAACAGCATAATCAATTAAAAAAAACTCTTCTTTGATTAAAAAAAAAAAAAAAGAAAACAAAAACACTAATTTGAATAGATAAATGCACCCTTATGTACACTGCATCATCACTAGTAATAGCCAGGATATGAAAGCAACCTAGATGTCCATCAATAGATGAATGAAGATGCGGTACACACACACACACACACAATGGAATATTATTCAGCAACGAAAAAGAATGGAATCTTGTCATTTGTGACAAATGGATGGGCCCAGAGGATGTTACACTTAGTGGAATAACTCAGACAGAGAAAGACATACCATATAATCTCATGTATATATGGACTTTTAAAAGAAAATGTACAAACAAAACAAAACAGAGATAGACCTGTAAATACAGAGGACAAGCTGATAGTTGCCAAATAGGAGAGAGTGGGAGAATGGAAATTTAAAAAATGTAAAAAAAAAACCCATAACTGAAGGTGCCTAACCTACATGAGGGATCCGATCACAAGATTAGGTGCTCCACAGTTCTCTCCACTGGCGTATGACATCGGTCACTATAACAAAGTCTGTATAAACACGAACCAAAAACTTAAACAAGAGCCAGTCTCTAGACCTAACTACCGGTTTACAGGAAATACTGGGGACAGAACTTGTTAGATGATGCCACTGGGATGTGATCAACAAACTCCAGAATATGGGCCCCTCTGATGGACAAATACCCACTTTCTTTATTCAATACATTGTAAGAAAAAGAGCAGTAAGGGTAAACTGTAGATTTAAGAAGTCCTAAGGAATGTATCTATCAGATATGACATGTGGTCTCTGTCTAAATCCTGATTTAAACCAATCAAACGAAAAGCAAGATTAAAAAAAAAAAATTCCAAACAGTGAAAGGACAACAAACTCACAGTTATTAACAACCACACCTAAAACAAAAGCAAACTAAAAGGACAGCTAGATCAGGAGTGGAAACATAGAAATGAAGATCACATGGAGGGTTAGCAACAGGGGAGTGGGAGGAGGAGAAGGGGGAAGAAGGTACAGAAAATAAGTAGCATAGACAGTAGATAGAAAATAGATGGGGGGGGGACAAGAATAGCATGGGAAATATAGAATCTAAAGAACTTGAGACACATGGTCATAAACTAAAGGGGGGGTAATGGTGGGGGAGGGGTGTACAGGGTGGAGGGGAATGAAGGGGGAGAATAGAACAACTGTAACAGCAGAATCAATAAAAAAATTTTTTTTTAATTCCAGCAGCATGCATCTTAAGTTACCTAAGAAAAATGGCTTTTTATAAAAACTCCACTTGACATTTTAATCAATATATATAAAAACAAACTTCGATTTTAATGAAGAGTTCCTCTATTACTTCAGGTTATTTTGTAGCAAACACATTAGTAAGGAGTGCTAAGTCTAGGATCTACTGGCAAAGGTTGGTCTAACTTAATAGAAAATATAATAATTAGCCCTGGCTGCAGTGGCTCAGTGGTTTGAGTGCCGCGCTGCAAACAAAAGGGTCACTGGTTCAATTGTCACTCAGGGCACATGCCTGGGTTGCAGGCCAGATCTCTGGTACGGGGTGCACGAGAGGCAACCACACACTGATGTTGTTCTCCCTTTCTTCTTCCCTTCCCCTCTCTCAAAAAATAAATAAAATCATTAAAAAATATTAACCATTTTCTCTTTGCCTTTTCTACTCCACTCCAGAAACAAGCTTATTAGAAGCCAATAAAAATAAAATTGAGGGATTAGACAAAGAAAACATAAGAAGCAAGTTATTAGTCCCATGTTATTAAAATACTGCTTCAGTTTAATGATGTAACAAATATTTTCTCAGCACCTATTTATAATATCCAAAGCTCCTTGCTAGGAATTAGAAGAAGTTATCAGAACTATTTAAAGAAATAAAAACTAAAAAATATTTCTAGGACTTCCAGTAAATATGAAATATTACAAAATTTCTCAAAAAGTGTTTCAACTTACACTTTGTTCCTCTGGTTCTAATTTGGGGATTTTGTGTGACTTGCGCTCTTCGGATCTAGATGAGTCATGCTTGTTGCTTTTTTTCCTCTTTTCCTTTCTGCTTTCATGCTTTGACTTTGTGTGCTCACTTGCCTGGACTTCATTTAAAAGGTCTCCACAAAGGGAAGACTCAAACAATTCCCTGCCATTCTGGATAGTTTTGGTTATTTTTAGTTTAATTTCAGGTGAGCCAGTCTTCTTTGGAATCACAGTCTGTGGTACTGAAGGAGGAGGTGGGAGCTGTGGAGGAGAAGGTTTTTCCAGAATTTCATGTGGTCTTGTGTTTGAAATTTCTGAATGGTAATAGTCAGGGGGGTTAAAGTTTCTAACTGCACCATAACCATTGGCCGATCCATTGGGATACTGATTATAGGACTGGTATTTGGTTTGAGTTTCATACATGCTGATTGATGGTGGGTAGCCATTTGTGAGTGGAGGAAGATCTTCTGTTGTAGATGGGTACTGAAAGCCTTGCTGCAAGGTAGCTTCATATGGTGTATGGCCACCATCTTCGACAATGTCACTGTTGTTATCAAAGGCATCCTCCTGGCGGATGTTGGCGGAGTCAATGAGTTGAGGTGGTTGCTGAATTGTGTTTCCCATGATCCCTTGCATGAAAGAGAAAGAGAAATCCATTGTTCTGCTCCAGCATCCTTAACTTTCCCTTTCTCTCATCGGGCCTAAAGTTTTAAAAGAGTAAATTAAAAGGTGTTAATATCCTCACAAATGAAAAGGTAGTCAACTGAAAAAAGACTAAACTAAAATATTCTGAACCAGCCCTGTCTGGTGTGGCTCAGTGGACTGAGTGCCGGCCTACAAACCAAACAGTCACTGGTTTGATTCCCAGTCAGGGAACATGTCTGGGATGCAAGCCAGGCCCCCAGTTGGGGATGAGAGAGAGGCAACCACACACCAATGTTTCTTCTCTCCCTCCCTTTCTCCCTCCGTTTCTCTAAAAGTAAATAAATAAAATCTTCAAAATATTCTGAACCCAATTTTCATATCCAGGTATGCAGAGACACTAAAAGTTTTTAAAACAGGCAGCCAATATAATTGTGTCACAGGACAAACACTTTTTTAATCTTAAATTTTTATATGCTTAAGACTCAACTACTTTCACAATAACTTTAGTAACAAATTTCATCCTCTTTGCAAACATGCAAAATAGTTTTGTTTCCCAAGTCAGAGATTATCATTCTTATGATAAACCTGCTACTTGCAATATATAGTATTTTTCAGACCATAAGACTCACCTAGGTTTTAGAGGAGGAAAATAGGAAAAAAAAATTTGAAGCAAAAAATATGATAAAATATTTAATAACATAAACGACATAATATTTCACCAATGTAAATGTAAACAGAACTCACAGCAGCATTAACAACCACTGTTCCTCCCAAATTGGGGGGGTGGTGCATCTTATAGTCAGAAAAATATGGGTAAGCCCTATGGACATATATAAATTAGGCTCCACAAAGCTTCCTTTAAATAATTCATGTTCTGTCCAGTGGTTCTTTCTGTTATTACAAAAATAATAAAATCTTATTATAAGTGCTTTAAATGCAAAAGTAGAAATGCCTATTGTTCTCCCCCTTCATCATCCCTATTCTTCTGTTATGAATAAGTACTGTAAACACCTTGCTGGGTATTCTTCCAAATCTTTCTTCACATACTTATGTGTAAAATTCTAAAAATTGGGTTTATCCTGTGACTTGCTTATTCAATTTTAGATATCTTAGATATCTTTCTACATTTGCATGTATAATTTTCATACATACTTCGTTCCTTAAATGGTTGCACTGGAAACAACTATGGTATCTACCAGATGTATTTAACTATTTGTGTGCTAAAATTCATTTTGTTATTCACAATTGCTTGATATCATGAACAGGTCTACAGGACACTTTCTGAAATTGTATCTTTGTACATATATGTATTCCTATGGGACAGATCTGAAATCTTGGTAGATACCGAAAACTGTTCTGTAAGCTGTACTACAGCCATTTACACTCATGCCAACAGTGTGTGAAGATGCCCGATTCTCTATACTCTTGCCAGTATCCAGGTGTTTTTAACCAGTGGTATAAGTAGCAGAATCATTTGGGATACCTTTACAAAATGTGTATGTCAAGGTCTATCTACTGATCAATCTGATTCAATAAATCTGGGGTGAGGGCTAGAGCATGAGTATTTTAAGACCACATTCTACCTGATTCTGATACAAACCCTAGTGTGAGTCACTGCACTATTGTCTTTGAATTGTAGCCATCACATTATACTCTTACAATTATTGCACCCTCCTCCAGAAGATGTCTAAAGATGCCCAGGTTACGTAAGGATGTTATAATACAGATAAGCATCTGTTAGGAAATGCCTTAAGACCACTCTGCATTGTCATAAGGTTTGACAAGCCCACATCTCAAGATAGAGGATTAATGGACAGTCCAGATATCATTTTGACGATCCCATAAACATTTCTTCTAGAAAGCTCTAAGGCAGAGAGGATTTCACTACTGTATGAAGTCTCATGAACTCACTGTAGCTATCTGGAATGCTATGAAGAACGATTCTGAGACTACAGCTCAGTTCAATTCTGTGACTAATTAATGATGTCCACCATCCTGCCCTGACTGGTGTGGCTCAGCTGGGTGTTGTCCCACAAAGGGAAAAGTCACCAATTCAATTACCGGTCAGGGCACGTGACTGGGTTGCAGATCTGGTCCCTGGTCCGGGCATATAAAAGATACAACCGACCGATGTTTCTCACTCACATCGATGTTTCTCTCCCTCTCATTTTCACTCCCTCCCCCCTCTCTAAAAGTAAATAAATAAAATCTTTTAAAAAATTACAGGTTTAAAAAACAATAATGTCTACCATCCTGGTTCTATCTAGTAAGATTTACCATAATACGACTAATAACCCAAAACAGAAAAGGGAAGAGAAGGGGGAAAAGAGGAGACAACATACTTTTAAAGGTGTACCCAATTAAACAGCTGCTGTCTATTCTGCTGTTAGCAAATGGAACAAATTTTAGAAGTTCTAAAATTTGAAACAAATGCACACACGAATTCAGAATGCTCATGCTGCTCTACCGTGGGCCGGGGGTGGGAGGTCTCGGAGAGTACTCTCATTTTTCTGTCACCTGCGCTGGGCCACACACTTTATACATTTCCTCATATTTATTCTTTTATTTAAATTGTTGTTCAATGTTTCCTCATTTAATTCCCATGCGACTCTGTAAAATATGCATTGTGACTCCTGGTTCATAGGTAAAAGAAACTGAGTTTCAGAGGGATTAGATGACTTACTTAAACCGCAAAGATTCAGGAGGCAAAATTAGGATTTGAATCTAAGCATGTTTGACTCTAAAGCCTATGATTTTTTACCACTATACAACTTCCACTTCCCTCAACTATAAGTTTTAAGAGGATTCAGCTATTCTATACTAACTACTGCCAACACTTAAATCATGCTTAGTATATGCCAGAAACCATTCTAAATGCTTTACATATAATACTACATTTAGTCCTCCCAACAACCTTCAGGTAGGTATTAATATTAGTTCCCATTATAGAAGGGGAAACACAGAACAGAAAGGTTAAATGAGTTGCTTAAGTGCGACAGAGCTGGGCTAGAATCAAAGCAGTCTGGTTTTAGCGCCTGGGATCCCAACTAACAATACTGATAATGCTGATGTTAAAAACCATTTCTTTATATATAGTTTAAAAATTGAAACATTACCCTATTTTGACCCTTGGAAAAAATGGATAGCTCACAGACATCAGAAGAGTATACGCCAACATTCTGTAAATACACATGGGACAACTATACAGGTGGAATTCAAAAGTTCTTTAAACTTCTAAACTGAAGGCAGTTCAATTGGAATTGTTAAATATTGACAATTGACAAGATACAACCTGTATGTTTGGTTCTTATTCCTGTCATATACAAGATCAGCTTCCAAATAAATCCCCCAAATCATACAGAGCTAAGCTGAATCTCAGAATGAGAAAACAATCAGACCAATCCAAAATGTAAAACATTCCCTCAGACAACTGGCCTGAGCTCTTCAAACAGCGAAGGTGGAAAGACTATTCTAGTTTTTAAAAGATTGGATGTAGACAACCTAATTCTGTGCACAAACTTGGATTAAATCCTAAATTTAAATACACACCCATAGGTAAAAATATCTACAGTTTGGAGAAAAACGAAAATGTTAAATATGAACTGGCTACTGAACAATGGAGCTACTGGTTTTCAAGGGCACGTTAACAGTGTTGTTTCTGTAAGAGAACGCCCAGGCTACAACAGTGAGGTGTGACGGGGGCCACAGCTTTCAATGGTTTAGGGTTTTAAAGTACACACACCTAAAGCAAAACCAAGGAGGCATGATGTTAGCAACTGGCTAATCCAAGTGTGGATTGTAATATTTTTTAAACTTTCTTAAAGTTTTGAAAACGAGAAAAGCAAAAATTGGGGAAATAAATAATGTGATTAGGGGAAGCGGTAAAACCTGCACTAAATCCTGACACCATACTTAGATCAACTAAGCCAAACGGTCCACACTGTTAAAATTACTATAAAGGGAATAGAGCCACACCTTTTCATATCATCCCTCCAAATAATAAAATAATGCAATCAAGAAAGCAGTTTTAATCTTTTTTTTTTTTTAAAAAAAAAAGCTATGTTAAGATTATAACTAAATTCCTTTATAGTAATTTTGATAATCACTGGAGTCTGGCAGCCAGCCTCCCGACAGCTGACATGCTGCTTGACATCGCAGTTAACACTTTCCAGCACTAGGGGGCTCTCTAGCTAGCAGGGGCTCAGAATCAAATTGCTGGATCCAAAACGCACATCCAAGGATTATGCTTAAGGCACCTTTCAATCTTCCTAAATCTGTTTCCTTATCAAGAAACTGTAGATACGTACTTATAATTTTCTGTTTACCTTGGGTTGTTGTAAGAATTAAAATTAAACTGTGTGCAATACTTCAGACAGTACATAGGTATAGTTAGAGCTCAATACCTATTGGCTATTATTATCGAGTACAATACCAGGCAACAGATTTTGTGAAAACCTTCAACTCTGACCTAAAGGCATTTACAATATAATAGACTAGAGAAGATTTTATGGGTAGGACTCAAAAAATAGTAATGAACACTGTGGAACAGGAGATGACTAAGAAACAGGGGACTTCCAGTCAAGATGGTGGTATCTCACGCAACCACATCAAAATTATGACTAAATCATAGAGCAACCATCAGTCAGAACCATCAGAGACTGAGCTGAATGGAGTCTGATAACTACGGAATTAAAGAAACCACATCCATCCGGACTAGTAGGAGGGTTGGAGACATGGACTGGGCTGGTCCCACATCCACCTGTGGTAGATAAAAATTCGGGAGGATATCTTGGGAGCAAGGAGTCCCAGTTCCATACCAGGTCCCCCAGCCCAGGGTTCCAGTGCCAAAAAGGTATGTCATCAAAACTTCTGGCTGTAAAAACCAGCAGGGACTGAGTAGGTGGAAGAAATTTCTGGAGTCCCAAGGAGTTCCTCCTAACCCACAAACAAACTTACTCAGACTCAGTTCCTCCGAGCTCCATCACCAGGGTAGCGGCTTGAAAGATACCAGTGGCATTCAGGGAGGAACTGAAGTATCTAGCGTCAAGGTGACAGCTTAGGGACAACTTTCCCTGAGACTGAATGGCGGGCAGAGGCCATTGTCCCTTTTCTGAACCCTTCCCCACAGAGTCTCAGAGCTGGCAGGCAGGTGCTATATCTCAGACTCCATCAACCTGGCTAACACTGTTTGTCCCACCCCGGAGATCCCCTGAGATTCCATCCCACCCAACTCACTAGCCCATCCAAGCTGTTAACAGAGCCTTTTCTATATGAATGGGTGGTCTTTACTCATGCTTCAAAACTTCCTATATCCTATCAAACAAGCAACAGCCAACCTCAGTGAACCCCCTGTGCCCACACCACTTGCTAAGTGGCCCCAGGCTCAGCACTAGCAGCAGCCAGCCTAGATTCACAGCTTGGCTTTGCCTGAGAATCTCCAAGCCAAGCACAAGTTAAGAGCCTTGTCAGATTGCTTTATAGGCCAGTCAGGGTGGCCCCAAGCAAAACACAGGTGTGGGCTGACCTTGGCCTATACCACCTGGAAAACTCCGGAGCTTGTGTACCCAGTAGACAGCTATAGACCACAGTGGAGCACCACCACCCTGACCTTGAACCACAGAAGACAGACGTTGGTGATCAGTGGTTACAGCCAGTCTTTGCAGCTGACTGGCCTGGGTAAATACTTCCCGTTGATCTGCCAACAGAAATCAAGGCTCAACTACAAGAGAAGGGTATATTCAGCCCACATGAAGGGTGCATTTCAAGTACCCAGCTTAAGTGATAGGGGAGGCTGTGCCACTGGACCCTACAGGACACCTACTACATTAGGCCATGCAGCCAAGACATGGACTCAAAGCAGCTCTACTTAGTACACAGAAACAAACACAGGGAGGCTGCCAGAGTGAAGAAACAAAGAAACACAGCCCAAATGAAAGAAGAAAACAAAACTCCAGAAAAAGAATTAAACAAAATAGAGATAAGCAATCTGTGAGATGCAGAGTTCAAAACACTGGTTATAAGGATGCTCAACTAAACCACATAAAAAGATCCAGTCCTCAATGAAGCATTCACTAATTGAAATAAAGAACAATTTACAGGGAAACAACTGTAGAGTGGATGAAGCCAAAAATCAAATCAATGATTTGGAACATACGGAAGCAAAAAAAATAACCCATCAGAACAAGAAGAAGAAAAAAGAATCCAAAAAAAAATGAGGACAGTCTAGGCAACCTCTGGGAGGTTTCAAGGGGTCCAACATTTGCATCATAAGGGTGCCAGAAGAAGAGAAAGAGCAAGAAATAGGAAATCTATTTGAAAAAATAATGAAAGACTTTCCTAATTTGATGACAGAAATAAACATGCAAGTCCAGGAAACATAGCAAGTCCCAAACAAGATGGATGCGAAGAGGCTCACTCCAAGACACACCATAATTAAAATGTCAAAGGTTAAAGAAAGAGAATCTTAAGAACAGCAAGAGAAAAGCAGATAATAACCTATAGGGGTATTCCTATAAGACTGTCAGCTGATTTCTCAAAAGAAACTTTGCAGGCTAGAAGGGACTGGCAAGAAGTATCCAAAGTGATAAAAAGCAAGGACCTACAACCTAGACTACCCCAACCAGCAAAGCTATGATTTAGAATGAAAGGGCAGACAAAGTGCTTCCCAGACAAAGTAAAGCTAAAGGAGTTCATCATCACCAAACTATTATTATGTGAAATGTTGAAGGGACTTATTTAAGAAAAAGAGGAAGGTAAAAAATATGATTGTTAAAATGGCCATAAATATATAAACATCAACAATTGAATCTAAAAAACAAACTAAACAAACAAGCAGAACAGAAACAGAATCATAGATATGGAGAACACTGGGATGGTGGTCAGTGGGCCAGGGTCTAGGGGAATGGGGAAAAAGGTGAAGGGATTAAGAAGTACAAATCGGTAGTTACAGAATAGGAAGGGGGATGTTAAGAGCCAAGTATAGGAAATGGAGTAGCCAAAGAACTTACACGCGTAATCCACGGACATGAACAAAGGAGGGGAGATTACCAGAGGGTGTGGGGGTGCTGGGTGGAAGGGGGCAAAGAGGGGGAAATCGGGACAATTATAATAGCCCAATCAATTAAAATTTAAAAATAACAATAAAAGAATTAAACAGTGTTACCATTGTAACAGACATTTGAGCAGAACAATGTTCATTAAGAAAGCACTCAGACTATGCAAGACAGGCAGGATGTGGATTTAGGTGTTTTTAACCCACTAATTTTAAAATCACTTAGCACAAGACACCAAATATTCTACCTTTGTCCTCAATAAGTCTCTGATAAAGATGGTATACAGTGGTACCTTGGTACTCACTGTTAATTCATTCCAGAACTCATGACAAGAGCTGAAAGTGACGACTACCAATCTATGAAGCATTTTCTCCTGCAGGGTGGTGTCGTGACTCATACAAGTTCTAACTGTGACCAGTCCTGAGCGAGTGTCGAGTATGGAAACATTTCCTCCTCGTCAAAATGCAATGACTACAGGGTCTGACAAGTTCTGAAGCTCATGAGTACCGAAGTATGACCGTATTTTAATTTTTTTGTATAACTAAAGTAATAATAATGACTAACATTTGAGGACTTACTATGTGTTGATAACATCCTAAATGCTTCACATCTGTTACATTATTTTATTCCTCATAACACCCCCTTGAGGGAATACTATCACTACTCTTATTTTACAAATGAAAAGTGAAGGCCAGTAGGATTAAGTAACTTGCCCACCCACAGTCAGACACCTTGTTAAGGGAGGGGTCAAACACAGGTGCTCTGTTGCAAAGCACTGGCTGGTTAAAGTAAGCTCATTTCCTCCAGTCCCCAAGTATGTACAGCAAATAGCAATGCAAACAAGACATTCACACTTTATACTTCACACTTCCGCAGTGACCCTCCCCTGAGCCAACCGCTCAGTAGGAGATGACACAATCACACTGGTCTTCCACCCATTCTAACATGCACTTCGAAGTAAACAAAAGCCCACCAAAGGCAAGTAACTTGTAACAAATTTTTCCTCTGACCAATGTTTCTAGGTTTTTTTAAGATAAATAAATCAATAAGTACTTTTTCTTAATTTTGTTGAAGCTGTCCATAAACAGTTCTAAAGAAAGTTGAAAATTATCAACTGATGATTTAAGGCTATTATTTATTTACCAACTTATTCATGAAGCAAATGATAATAGAAAAGTTTATAGCATCCTTAAGTGAAATCTTAGAAATTAAATTTAAAGAAAAAAAGGCATGTCACATAGTTCAGATGAACAGCTTGAGGCTATACATACCAATTAAGTGTGAATGACATTCTAAATGTCTAGTTTAAGTCAGTTTAACAAATTCTCAAAATGAACAATTCTATTTGGTAGAACATATATATTGCTAGATTCTACCTTATAGAATTACATGCTCTACTATATATACTTACTTTTCTATGTTTAACATCAGTCTGTTCTCCAAAACAGAAAACTCTGTATTTCTTTATACAACAAAATTCCTCATGTTGACATGCATTCAAGCTTTTGAAATCAGAAATGGTTCTAAGTTGTCATATAAACTGCCTATTTCTTTTCAGACCCACCTACCCCTTAAATACACTCCTAGGTTACTCGATTTATAAATCTAACCCAAACACTTTCCTTATTAAAATCCTTCAATCACTCCTCGAGAAAGTCCAAGCACCCGGACCAACCGAGCCCATAGGCCCACCCAAGCAAGGGCTCTACCCCTGTCTCCAACCTCCAGTCAGTTCTGTGCACCAGCAATAATTACTGGGAGTTACTGTACACACTAGGATTTTATACCACTGTGCTTTTTGACTGATGCTGTCTCTGGTGCCTAATAGGCCCTTTGACATATATGTGTGGTTTTTTTTGGCTTGACCTTTAACCATCTTTTGAGCTCAAAAAGTCATCTCCAAGAAATAGTAACTTAAGCTGTAGGCTAGTCTGAGTAACTTTCCTGTGTTATTAAGATACACTATGCAGGACTCTTAGAATTAATCATGAAACAACCTGTTTATGTGGTTTTCTTAAGAGCAGGAAGTAATTTTTTTTTCATCCATGTTCTCCAGAAACACAAAGCCAACGCTCAGAGGAGAGGTTTAAAAAATCTTTTAAACTGAACAATTTAAACTTAAGGGAGTTACTACATATAAATGAAATACTTTAAAGAGTTGTTGAGTATCTTTCCACGGAGAATGAAACAATATAAATGCAGTTAAGACTTTAACTGCACCCTCAGGTAGTACCCTCGGCAACCTCTGCCTGACAACCGCTCATCTGACGACTGAGATCCTCCTTAGTCCTGGGCTAACCATGAAGGCTTCAAGCACCAAGAAGCTAGCATGCAGTCCGATGAATTTCCAGGGAGTCTATGAACCCAATGAAAGGCCAAAAGATATAAAAAAACTCCGTATAAGCACGTCTATTCACAATCCTAGTGTCATTAATACTGTAAATCGGTAATTCAAGGTGAAAGCACCCAACATAAATTTTCGGTCATAGTTAATTGAATTGGCATGAACATCAATCTTTATTTTCCAAACCTCTTCTATTACAATCAATCATACTAAAATATATATTTAATCAATAATACTACAATGCCAAGCATACTTGATATACCAACATTAAACTTTTTACAGCTAAATAATTAGCAGAATATAATGTGATTTCCACAGCAGAGAAAAAGAAGGCAGCCTTCCTTTGCCCCAGGATAAACAAGGGATCCAGATGTTTCTTTCTGTGAACTGTTCCAAGAAACATGTCTCATGATTTATGATAAATCCAGTCTACATGTGTTTCTATAGCGACAGGAATAGAGGGCACGCACACAGTCTGCAGTAATGAATCAGCTTGGCTGGTTCTTGAAAACCTGGCATTTTTACTGTTTGAAGATTTCTGTGGCAAAACATTTAAAAAGAAAAATTTAAGACATACTGTTGAAAAATTAGAGGGTCATTTTGTTTTAAAGCAAAAAAATAAATAAATTCAGTATATAATGGCAAGCTTAAGTATACATTCTTTGAGGTGTAACAAGATAAAACTACCAAATACATTAATGCACTCATTTCTAACTAGATGATCACTTAATGTTTGAAAATCAGATCCTGAATCGAAACGAATTTAGTACCTACATGCACATCCCCCGAAAACTTCTCCAGCCATGACTCTAATGACTGAGAACGAAGATGTCTTGATGACAGATTTGAGAGAGATTTTCATTTTATTATTTTCCCCTCAAATCTACACAAAGAAAATAATGGGAGGGAGTAGTTAACTTTTTAAAAAATATGGTCCATTACTTTCAGTACATAGGTTATCAAAAGTGAAACCAGAGACTCTATAAAAAAGCTTGAAAACGATGCTTGAACTGTAGGAAAAATGCTAAAATCCCCTAATGCCAGGGTTTTAAAAGAGACTCCTTTATTTTGATTCTGTGTCCTATTCACATTTTAATTTAATTATATGATCAGAGTGATCTGGATTGCCCATTTGGCTTTCATAATTAAAAATTAGTTAACTGTTAATCATGTAATAACAACAGTGTGTTGTTAAAAAAGATTAGAGTTATGTTATTCTACTTTACCTTGCCTGTTTAAAACTGTTAGCCATTCATCCTTTATGGAAGTAAGGAGCAAAGAAATCAAGAAAATGCTAAGATTCGAAAGGGCAAGCAGCAATGGAGGAAAGATCACCAAGAGCAATGAATGATGTGTCATTAGAGACCAAGGCTAAGTTTATTCATACTTTCATATTCCCAATTACCAGGTACAAATGTGAAAGCTGGACAGGAAAGAAGGCTGATGGGGAAAAAAGTGACTTATTTGAAATACGGTGTTAGAGGAGAGCTCAACGGATACCTTGGACCCCCAGAAAGACAACCAGTGGCATCCACAGTGAACTAATCCTGAAACGTCACTGGAGGCAAAAATGACAAAACCGAAGCCGTCCTACTATGGGCACGTCCTGAGAAGGCGGGTTTCCTTGGAAAAGACCCTGCCCCTGGGAGAAACAGCGGCAGCCGGAAAAGAGAAGGACCAAGTGTGAGACGGACTGGCTCCATCAAAGAAGCCACAGGCATGAGGCCCCTGGAGCTGAGCAGGGCCGTTCGGGTCAGGACAGGGCGCTGTGGACACCACTCATTCCCTCAGAGAGTCACCAGGAGTCAGAGATGACTCAATGGCAGGGAAACACAGGCACAGGAGTTGAATGTTTTTAAAGAGCCCAAACACGCACACTTTAAAGATCAGCAAACACAAATTGCTATTAAGGATGAACAGGATGCAAATTACACTAGAAAAAATCAATATTCTTCCATCACGAGCCTTTTTACAGTTTAACAACAACAGTAAAAAAATCCGATGCGAAGATGGGGGTTATGGGAAAAAAAAAAACAACCACTTGGTTCTAAGAACTTGACCACACCTCTATACTACCAAAAAGGAAATCAACGACAATGTTTACCTTGTAGTCACTAAAAGCAGCTAAAATTGATAGCATCTAACCTAGCTCTGCTCCACACAAAGAGCAATAATTGAATCTGGTACAGTGACTACACAACTCTATGTCACTCTTCCAAACAAAATGGATCCTGCTTGGAAGTTTCTGTCAAGAAAATATAAACAACTTTACAAATGGAAGTGGTTGTTCCATTTGTCTTTAGATGATCTTATCCTGGGAGGGAACAAAAACCCTATAGATTACAAGATTTACTATTTTATCCACAAACAAAAGAAAGTGCTTTTCACACCAAGTGTTATACAATCCGTAATTACAGCTATCCATAAAAGTTTTAACCACAGTGGTATAAAAGCTAATTATTTCTGACTAAAAAATTTGATTCCCCCCAACAATTTCTTAAATTCCAGTAGTAATACAAATGCTTGGACCTCTGACTTTGAGGCCGTTACATAATGATACTAACTCTAGAGGTACTTAACAATTTTTAGTTTCCTTATGACTTTTTAAATAAAAATTGAGGATGTCTAGTTTACAAGGTTTGAAAAGGCTGCAAACTTTCAAATCATTTAAAGAGGTGTACTACATTTTGGTTGAGTCTGACCCTTGGAAACACCAATGCTACGGTTTAGAGGAAAATGGTTTCTTTTCTGAACTATTTTTCAGCTATTATATTAATAAAATATAAATTCTCCAAGTGACACAAAGGGCTTAGAGTATGTAAGATAAGTGTTTTAAATTAGTAAACCTTATCTGTGTATCTTGACTTAAAGGTACTTTCCGAGGTAGCCTTTTAAAAAGAACTCTAGGCTGCTGACTAATTTCTCATTAAAATCTACTTGCTTTAAAAGATAATTCAGATGAGAATATATTCCTTTTGTTTTTTCACATGATTTTACTCACTTATCCACCCAGATAAATCATGTCATTTTTATACAATTACTGACAACATGCATCCAAATCAGTGTTCTCACTCTGTCTGTGTAAAAAAAAACCCCAAAATGTGTCAAGATACCCTTCTACAACAGGATTTGCTACACGACACTTGCTCATTAAGGAACTAAGCAAAAGCATAAAACTGGCCACTCTTTTCAATAATGAAGAAGTAAAATGTGAATCTCATGCTTAAACAACGCAAACAAAGGAGAAATAATTCTTGGTGGTCCGTGCTCTTCCTTTCCCCCTACTAAGGCACTGTTCTTCAGCCATACTTTCTAAACGACACAGTAACATTCCTGCTAAATGCCCTGCTAATCTATAAATTTTACCCAATTTCAATAAGAATGTTCTCACAGCAGGCTACCTATTGTACATTTCCACGTATACAAAAGGTCCAGAACAGAAAAATCTGCACAGACAGAAAGACCCGAGACTGCCGGGGGCTGGAGGAGGGAGGCGACTGTTACTGAACACGGGATCTCTTCTGCGGGTAATGAAACTGCAGAAAGGTACACCTTAGAGGGGTGAATTGTGTGCATATGGATTACATCTATTTTAAAAAATGCTCCAAAAGAAAGCAAGAAAGCAATTACATATGTTTCTCAACAACATACTGTACAATATCTGTTCAAAAAATTAACAGTTTAATCGCACACTGAATGTGCTCACAATAGCCCCGGCTGGCGGCTCACTTGGTTGGAGCACTGTCCTGTACACCAAAGGGCTGAGGGTTCCATCCCTGGTCAGGGCACATACCTAGGTTGCAGGTTTGCAAAAAGCTTTATACATACACAGTAATTAAAATAGGAGGTACTGGTAAAGGGGCAAACAGTGCAGCAGAGGAAGACCCCAGACACAGACCAAGGCTCTATGGGAATTGAGCATATTAACAGGAGAAGCACTACTGACTGGGGAGGAGAAAACAAAAGACTTAAAGAATGGTACTAGGAAAATGGCTTATTCATACAGAAAAGAGAAAATTAGATCCACGCCATGTAACATACCAAACTCCAGTGGCTTAAAGACCATATATGAAAAGTAAAACTTAAATACTTCTAAGAAAAACCAAAACCATAAAACAGTAGATTCTTATGAACTCAAGGTGGGGAAGGATTTCTTAAACAATACATAAAGAGTACAACACAAAGGAAATCAGTAATAAGTTCAGCAATATTAATTTTAAAACCATGTACCGAAAGACAACACAAACAAGTGAAAAGACAAGCCTGCGAACCGGGAGAAGATACACACAATGCATGAAACAAGGCTGAGTTCTAACTCCCCAACTTTCTTGCAAATGTTCCCAGTTTGTACTACATTCATTTATTCTGCCGGATCATTTCTCGTCTGGGTAACAGCCAACGGCTTCCAAACTGTTCTTCCTGTTTCCAAAGTTGTCCACCTCCAATCTGCTCTGTAGCGTACTGGCAGTACTTAAAAAGAAAAACCGAGAACCCCCACATACTTAATAGTCTCCCATGGCTCTTCATGCCTTAGGACAAAATCCAAAAGCAGAAGGACCTTTCTTGATTTGGCCCCTACCTACCTGTTCAGCCTCCTCTCCTGCTGCTCCAGCTTTCCCAACCTTGTCCACCACCAGTCTAGTACTTTCTCTCCTCAACCACTCATCTTTCAAGATTCTATTCAGATGTGTTAAAATACTCCAAGAAACTATTCCAGACTGCCCCTTACACATCACATACTCCAAGAAGCCAGCTAGGTTAAATGCTACGCCTCTTCTGCTGGCACAGCATTCTACGTATAGTGACCCATAGCATTTAATACACGGTAAAGGAAGGGTATGCATGAGTGTGTAAGTGAACATGATCTTAAAACATCTGTGTACGAAAGAACAGTGAAATTCTTTATAACATCAATTCTGGATACCAGCTCGTTACTTGCCCTCTGCAGGCAGAAACAGCGTTGGGCTGAGTTCACACTAGCTCCTCCTTCCTTCCCATTCTGCCACTGCTACAATGGCAAGAAGACCAAAAGTCACGGCCAGGTTGCCCCCACCCCAGCCTGCACAGGCTTCTCTAATAAAACAAATATTTACTGAACACTTACTATTTACCAGACGCTGAGCTAAGCACTAAAGTTACAGGGATAAAAATTTAGGCATGCTCTCTACAATGATAAAGGTACATTATTACTGGAGACAGAAAAGCAAAACGAAAAGTAAGGAGATGAGGCTCAGACACCGTTCCTGGTAAGGTTCATTTATTCATTTCATGCTCAGAGCCTGTGTTTTGTTTAGTCCTGAGAGTTAGAGATAAGAGGTGAGCAAGACAGAAGCCCTGCTGACAGAAAGGGACAAGTGCCCTAGGTGACAAAGGAGAACATCTGAATCGAGAAGCTAGGGGATGTGAGAACAGAGAGAGGATGCAGGGGAGCACAGACTTTTTCAGGCTTAGGAAACAAAGAGCCCCGACCTGTGCGAAGGGAGAGGAGGTCCTTCCCTATGTTACCAAAAAGGATTTTCAGTTCCGTTAGGAACTTTCGAGGCTTAATATCACACCTTCCAAATGATCTAGATTGCTACAAAGGCCTTTCTTGATATGTTACAATCCCGAATTACAAGTATTTACTGAAAGCACACTACTTAATGCAGAGACATATAACAACTTAGATGCCAGAGTATATAGAAAGACTGGAAAGTTTGCTTTGAGGACATGGGGCTGACTTCATCTCTGAATCCCCAGGCCAACTGCAGCGCCTGGCACACTATCAATAAACAAGGCAACTGTAAACAAAAGGGAGTACTATAGTTAAGGGGCCACAGGGTTGGATTAACAATGGAAATATTTTTAATATGGACGAATAATTGTTAAGTAATTAGCATTGTTGAAATTCCACAGGCTGTTTGTTAACACAATGCACTCACAAATAACTGTACACATTTGCCTTTTCTTTCCCAAGAAAGGTCATGAATAAAACTAGAAAGTGTCTGCACTAGGATTATTTATATGTCCAACACAAAACCAAACTAACAGCAGAAGACAGATCGGGCAGCTGGGAAGGGGGCAAACTTCCTCGAAGCTCAGGAACAGGCTGCCGGGAGCAAATAAACCAACCACAACTTTCTATGATGACTGTTTTCACACAAAGACGGTAATAAACTTATTGGCCGAGTCAAAAAAGGTTATGGGTTGTTTTACTACTAAAACATTTAGTGTATTTAAGACTTTTAATTTTTAACAAACAAATTTCTGGGTCATATGGATTTATGGGTGATTTTCACAAAAATATGGGGGTGGGATTTGCAGCGGTGACAACGGCACTGAAGGACCGTTTTTCCACATCTGTTCATTTAAATATATATTAGCCACAGTTAGAAAAGTCTCAACACTTCTTGACTTTTGGCTAAGATCAAGTATAGTACTTGTCCTTATCAGTTTAATATCTGCATATGTCCTCTATCTGAGGGCAACGGGTTACATGCATTTTTGAAGCAGGGAGGTGGAACGGGCGCTTGCTCCGCCCACTCTGTGCAGCGACCTGGTTCTGCAGCACTTCCAGGAACGGTGCACCAACACCCGCCCTAAACACCTCGAAATGGAAATTTATTTTATAAAGGCAAACAGTGTGTAAATTCCCGAAAGAAAAAGGCTTTCGTTTACATCTTCAAACATTGTTAACTATTTAACAATATGTCTAGCAATAGATAAGGAAAAATAAAATCCTTTCTACACTTACCATGTTGGCATTTCAAAATCAGAATTAAATCACAAATTTACTGTAAGAAATATTTACTCTAAGAATATATTTTATCTCCAACTACTCTCAGATAACTGAAACCAGTATCAGCCAAACACTGCTTACATCAGTTAGAGTGACTACATCTGCTACACAGTGACGCTCATTCGTGGATTCTAAGTCAAAACAACACAGAGAGAAATGAGGTCTTGGCAGCTCTCCTCTCCATTCCAGCCAATCACATACGAATGACTTTGAGTGAACTTCTTAATCTCTGCCTACAAGGCTAGGAAATGAAGCTAAATGACCATGGATATATTTTCTCACATTTTTGTCCATTGTGTCAACTCTATTGTGTTTTAGGTGGATGGGATTTAGTTGGTACACATGCGTATGTCTGGACAAAAGTTTGTTTTTAAAATAAGAGTTCCCATAGAAACACTTCTATATGAAATCATAACTCGTCACCTTAAATTACCCACACCGACACTGCCAAGTAAATAATTCTCTAAGTAAATAATCAAAAGCTGAGCCTCACCTCGCCTACTTCCAGACTCCAAGTGGCATGTTATTCCAGATATCTATATTACTCCTCACAGAGTCCTTTGCTTTTTGTTTTGTTTTCTTTGTGACATAGTTCACTACTGAACACAAACTATGTACCAGACCTTGTTCTAGGTCCTGGCAAATCAAAGGAAAGAGATTCCCATCTCATAAACAAGAAAATTTCAGATATGGTTAAGCTAATAAAACAGGGTAATACGACACAGTGACTGGGGGCTAGATTGTTATAAAAAGGATGAATGGATCAAAACCAGGAAATCGTCACATAGGGAAGGGACCTGACTAGTGTGGCTCAGTTGGTAGGAGCATCATCCCTTAACCGAAAGGTTGGAGGTTCGATTCCCAGTCAGGACACATACCTAGGTTGTGGGTTCGATCCCCAATCCTCTGTCTGGGTTCAGGCTCTAGGACCACTAGGATCCCGGGTCCCGGGTCCGGGTACGCACGGGAGGCAACCAATTGATGCTCTTCTCCCACATCAGTGTCTCTCTCCCTGCCCCTCTCCCTTCATCTCTGTCTAAAAGCAATGGGACAAAATGTTCTTGGGTGAGGATAACAAACAAGAAAAAAAATTGAAGAGATAATCAGCAGGCATAGCTTTTATTTCCTATGGAGTTCTCTTTGTTTCAGAGGCTTCTGAGGTGTGACTATCATAAAAAGATTTGAATAAGAGTTCAGTTGAGTATTCCACAGAATATAAAAAGCTCAAACTTTAATGATTATTTAACCTTGAACAATTACAATAAAATTACAATTTAAAAAATATGATTTAACCATAACTACTCCAAAATACTACTGAAGTGAAATCATTTTGTTGCTCAGCAAACTAGTCTGTTAACAGAAGCAAACAGAGTCTGTACATAGAAGCAAATGTATGTAGCAAACTACATAAATTAGAATATTTTAAAATAATACTTCAGCTTTCAAATAACTGTTACTAAGTTGTTTCCTGTGAATGGATTTATTCACTAAGATAGTAAAATTTAAAAAACTCAAACCCACATAAACATGCAAACACAGTAATCACGAGAACAATGGATGTGAAAATGTCTACTTTTACTTATTTCTTCCCCTTCACTAAGAATATCTAAATCTGTCCTAGCCACATGTGGCTACTTAATTTTAAACGAATTATAATGACGTAAAATGAAAAATGGAGGTCTCAGGCACACTGGCCACATTCCGTGGCCCGTGGCCCCACGCGGCCCGTGACTGCCCTCGTACAGCCCAGACACGGAGCATGTCCATCACCGCAGAAAATTCCACTGGACAATGCTAATGTAAATTGTTTTTCATATTTGACCTAAACAAAAAATCCTAAAAAAGCTTATAAAATACAGTTCATCATAAACTTAAAAAAAAATTGATGAATAGGACTGTGAAGCTAGAAAGAAGTCGCGTAAGAGGGGAAGTTTAGCAATCAGATCTCCATGCCAGAGAATAAGATAGACTCAGATAAATCTGGGGACAAGCAAAAGTGTACTGAGTGCACTCTGACAGTGGGCCTCGGTCCTGAAGCTTCAGTTTTCATTCTGATTCTATCTACATCTAACTTAGCTACCTAAGTGTTTTGAAGAGACACAACATCCTTAGGCTTTTCGTTATAGCCCATAATGTAGGTTAAATAAGGTGATCCAGGTAACTGCAAATAACCCAAAACAATGGGAAAATGGACTGTGATTCCTCCAAGTTATTAATACATAAAAGTATCTGGGTTTTCATTCTGACAAGAATATATGTGATTAAAAAAATTAACTTTAATATATTTTCTACCATAATAACATTATTAAAGAGGTTCATTATTTGTAACAGCAAACAATTATATGAAATTCACAACCAACACCTCTTTACTTACATAAGTAAGTTTTTAAGGGGTAGAATCAGGACGACCACAATATTTCTTTCTATAGAATTCTCTAAGTAAATAATCGAGAGGGTCAGAGACATGGCACATTGTCTTCTGATTTTTATGTTAAATTCTGTAGAGCAACACTATTTTTAAAGGCATAACTGTACTATTCCAGAATCTGCTTAACTCCACTGTTATCACCCCAAATATTCTCTGAAACTTTCACTTAACATTTTTCTACTAAAAATGTGTTAAGAAAAGGATAATGGTCAGACATTAAACTATCCTATATTAGGAAGTGACCTGCATGACAGAAACACAATTATGAAATCCCAAAAATCTATATGTTATTTCATCTAACCAGAAACCCGGTCACTAAATACAGTTGCACAATTCTTACTTGACTGTGATTCCATTAAGTGATACATTTTATGTTCCTTTGTCATTCTTGTTTTTCCCTGACTAAACCACATTAGTATTGAACAGCCTTGTATCGATACAGAACTTACTAGTAAAACACCCTGTTCTCCTTTTCAATTTGGTTTAACCTCAACTGTCTTCCCTTTATTCTTGACCACACCCATCAACAACAGACATGGTGTTGCCACTTGAAGAAAATAGAGATTATATTTCCAATCCCTACATCAAGGGTACTGGCTCACGCTGAAAAGTACTTGATATCTAGTAAACTGGCGAGTTCATCTACCTCCTCCTTCCTACCTCTTTTTTCCCCTACCTATTTCTCCAACAAACTGAAATTATAATCAAATGGTTTCTTTCTTAAAATTTTGCAAATGTTCAAATTTTACTTTCTTTTCCTTTGCGTTCTTCATTCCCCAACAGAGCAAGACATGAAGAGAATGCATGACAGAAATGATATATAGTTTTTGATATATATCAAAAAGAGAATGATATATAGTTCTAGGCAATTTATCACAACATCTAAATTATACTAAGTTTATCTTTTCTATAGAAATCCAGGATTTTTTGATTCATCAGGTTTAGCACTTCAGTATTTTAGGTTATGTTCCACATTTTGTTTTCAAAATAAACAATAAAAGTTAGAACCAAAGTAACTTCACAGCATAAATTCAAAATTTACATTATCGTCTATTTCCTTGATCAGAACACCAAGTGTTAGTGAAGCTACAGCCATCGTGCTGTTGTTACAACAACAGTACAAGTGAGTTTGAACCGGAAAGTTACCTTCATGTTCAAACTTGTATCAGCATGAATTCTCTTACCAAGTGAGAAACGCCCACATAACCCATTCGGACATTCTGCTCAAGCGTTAGTTAACTTTGAACTTTTAACTTCTTTGAAAGTTAATTTAGGCCAACTGACTTGATTTCTTCATCCAGTAAACATTCAACTACAGATTAGCTTGTTTTTGCACGTATTACTTTTCTTATACTAAAAAGAGTCGCTTATTTTCAGCTGTATTCTGGTACAACCCTAGGCACACTGGGGCACTTCTAATTTGGATCTGTCCCGGTAACTCCAGAACGTAGTCATTTTTGTCTCCACTTCAGAGATAAGATCACTGAGCCTCGGTGGTGGTAAGAGGTACAGTATGGCGAGGCACTCAGACCTCCTTGGTTCTTGCTTTAAACTCCACTGACCAGAGTTAAAAAAAAAAAAGAAGAAAAGAAAAAGATAAAAGATGTTTTGTGAAATGGCTTACAGCAAATAAAACTGTCAGAGCACAGCAAACCTCTCATAAAAAAGAAAACCCGGCGCTGGCTGGGTAGCTCCTGGTTGGGGCCCTGTCCTGACCTGCCAAGGCCGCAGGTTGGATCCCCGGACAGGACACACCGGCCAACGAGTGCACAAGTCAGTCCAAAAACTCGATGTTTCTCTCTCTCTCCCCCTCCCTCTCTCTCTAAAAGCAGTAAGTCTAAAAATTTAAAAAAAAAAAAAGAACAACTTTCCAAATGTGGACAAGTTTGTAACAGTAATATAAGCATAGCAGAATTTCTATAACCATTTTCTGAAATCAGTTATTTCTAGGTAACATTTGATTGAAATGTCTTTTAAACCACATCCAACACTCTCTCTCCATCGCACTGCACACTTTAAATGGATGAACTGTATGGTATGTGGTTTCTCAATAAAACTGTTACTAAAAAAAAGCTTTCTGGAGAACAATTTGAAAATATGTATCAAAAGCTCCTGAAATGTTTCTATTTTTAAGAAATTCTACTTCCAGGAATTTACTGTAATAAAATAATCACAGTAATAATTTTTTTATGTTATCAAATTATAATATCCCCAAATTGCAACTACCATCAACACAAGAATGGAAAACATTTTTTACAATGACATTTATGTCAATTTGGTAAATCACATTCTCAAAAAAAACTACTTCACTATAAAGCATGTTACAGAATAATATAAATGTACAATTCCAATTTGTTAAAAAAAAT